ATGAGAAAGAGAGACAACTACTTGTCCTTTCACACATTTACTCTCAGACACATTCCATTCGGCATAAAAGCGCCGACACCCAACAAAATTCAGCAGAAAGGACTGAAAATGAAATACAATGCATAAACGGTTCCAATTGGTTGCTAATTTCCTTTCCAGTTAGTTTACGGTTTGTTTTCACATTCATAAAATTCTCACTAATTTCACCGTTTCGATTCAGGTAAATTTCGATCAATTTAAGAGCCACTCGTAACGTATTCAATCTATTGCTTCATTCACATTCGAAGCCGCATTGATTTTCATTTTCGTTTCTATCTATGCTTTCCAATTGAAATTCTTGGAAAAACCCTAAGAGGCGTGTGTGTAAGGAACACATTTTTGTTCAATCAAATTTAAGAATTACTTCGAATCGAAGAAACGGAAATTTATACATAGTGTGTGTTGGATGAAATGTCGTTATAGTATAGCAATTCTATTGATTTATGTTGGTATAATGTACCGATTACACCAATGTGATGCAACGATCCATTGATATTCCGAAATACGCAACATATCAATGCACGTTTTGATTTGAATAACGGCAATTATTATTATTTTTCTTTTTGGTTTTGTGTCTGAAAAAAAAAATCGGACCAAGAAAAAAAACTTCCAAGAAAAAAAACCCACAATTTCAAATGCCAAAAAAGACAAGATAAAAGTCGGAGCGATCACAAAGAAAGAATTTTCTTTCTTAAATATTTTAAACATAAATAATAATAGAGAAATGAATATATCTTTTCTTACGTTGAATTTTGTCTTTAATTTGAATCATGAAATTTTCAAGAAAATTGTATCATCAGATGAAATGATTGATTGCCGGTGACGAGAGGAATGACAAGAATTTGTCTGGCCGTATGATATATTTTCACATGATGCAATAACGTCGACAACGGCCGGCATATTCGTTTTAGAAGTAATCGCCGTACATAATCGAAACTATCACCGAATACACATTAATTTTAATTTGATGCGCAATTCTATTTCAGAGAATTCAAATCAAATAAAAGTTTTTCATTTTTAACAGGAAGTTGGATTGGACCAAATAAATGCATTATTTTTGTCGCACTTTTGGCTGAAATACCAATAAATTATGTTACTGTACATTGCTATTGTTTTTTTTTTGTTATCGACCTCCCATTTGGTTTCGAAACCATTCAATTTTATGCAATTGTTTCTTCTCTGAAATGCTCGAAACATTTTTTTTTTCGTCAAGGATATCAAAAAACGAAAGCCTTGATAAAATTCCCAGAAAGACGAAAAACATTCATAAAAATAAAAGCATATTACTTTTTAACGTGTTGGATTCTCTCGCTTCACGCGCACATTTTTATGTAGTGCAAGTTGCATTTCGCGCATGTCGAGTGGAGTTTTACAGATCGAGTATTATTGTGAGTGATGAATAAAAATAAACCGAATACACATCATAGCATGGCCCGAATTTCGTGTGCAATCGGTTTCGTTTTGATGGAATGGTGTTGTGCACGATGGATGGAGATTACGTAAAATTTAAATTGCTTTTGATTAGTGCAAAATGAAACCAATTTACACTTGATCTGTTTGTATCGAACCACAGGCTCTGGTTGTTGTTGTTTATATTGTTTATGCAAAATGACACCATGGAATGTATGGAATGCATTTTTTTCCTTCGACGAAAAAAAAACCACACACCATTCATCATCGTGTTATTTATTTTGTATTGCCGTCATTGTCTATGTTTTCGGCGGTTGCCAGTGCCACACACATCAAACGACATTTTCATTCGCGATGCGAACACTCTTTAAAGAAAATTGAAAACAAATCAAGAAAAAAAAATGGAGCGCACGAAAAAGCGAGAGGGAGGTAGAGAGAAAAGAAATAACCGATTTCTACATATTTCATTTTAATTAATCAAAGAGAAAAGCATCACAATGTGTGAGTTATTTTTGACGCATATCACAAATTAATTTGTTGCGTTCGACTGCCGAAATGTAAGGTTTCGTGCCGAAAATCACATCGAAATCGAATGACGCTGATGTGTATGATTGCAATTATGAAGAAGAAAAATCAAAACAATTTGACAATGCCAATCGATGGTCGATTCGATTACATATCGTACGTTGAGTTAATCGGCATATAAAATATTTGCAAGATGAAGTGAGTGAATTTATATGCGATGAAGAGCGAATGAGAGAGAAAACGATAGTAACGTGACTGCGCTCATTATATTCCATTCATATGTGAGAACAAACAATTCCATTAAAATATCAATAAATTTGCATAATTGTCTGGAATGTCTGAGATTGTGTATACTGTGTAGTCTAGTAAACTTTCTGTGTAGTCTTCTATTTCAATCAGTTTATATATGTTTGGAGCGTTTGTGAGGCACTGACAAAAAACACTGACCTTAACAGTGAGTACAACAAAACTAAACAAAACCAAATAAAACCAACTGGAAAATAAACAATCGATGGAAATCATCACTGAAAAAATTCGGCTTGCCATCCATTTGTATACTTTGTGGAAAAAAAATAAACAAAAAAAGAAGAAGAAGAAGAAAAATGGAATAAATTGAATAAGTTATCGCTTATGTTGCAGTTGACTGAAATTTCAATTTTAATTGCATTGCGCATGCCAAATCAGTACACACTCATATTCGACGGCAAAGCAAAAGGTCATTCAAACATTCAAATGAATTGAACGTTTGCATCATACGTACGCATTGTGCACGTGGTATTTTCCCAATTATGATAACCTTTTTTTTTCAATAGAAAAATGATGATAAAAGGCGACAGTTCATTGTACAATGTAATACATTGATGAAATTGCGCTTATGCTGTCGATTGTGCGATCGCATCCTCTGCTCTTGAACAAACGATTTCGAGCAAACAAACGAGTACACGCAAAACAATTATTGGATTATAAGCTGACCAATAACAGAATAAAAAAAAATTAACACAAACTGCAAATAAAACATGAAATCGTACTCATTTCTTATTGGTCACCATAAAAAATATTGCGACTCCCAAGTGGAAGCGAGACGACACACTGAACAAATTATTACGCACAATGCATCCGTCGGATTTTGATGATCTACAACTGAATTCGGTTTATCAATATCTATATCGTTTATTTGACGAGAACAAACAACATTCTTTTTTTTATTTTCTGTAGCTGATATACAGATACTTATTTGCACAATAACATCCTTGAATGCGTGTCGTAATTATTATTATGTTTTTCTTTTTAAAAACAAACAGATCGGCATCAGATTATTGACCTGTTATTGACGCCACATAAATATGTCATTTTGCATCAAACGCACAAAATTAAATCCAACCACAATTTGAAATCTCGGTTGCAGAAAAAAAAAAAACACATTCTTTTGGTACACATATTATCTTGAGTTTCATTTTCTTGTGAAATTCGATTATTTTTGAATTAATATGCAACCAAAACGTAGCAACACTGACACAAATGGTGTGACAGTTTAACAAATGGTGTGATCTAACTATTTTTCTTATTAATATTCGTTATTCAAAAATTGATTGGATTACTTGGAATAGATAAGAGCTCTTCATGAATGTGACACGCGAAGAATCCGAAAACTTTTTTTGCAGTTATCCTTATCAAAAACCAATATATGACAATGTTCCATGAGATTTTTTTTGTCTATTTCAATATAACTGATATTTCATGTTAACTAATTTCATCAATACAAAGCGAAAAAAACTCAAACTTTGGAATTATTTTTTAAAATCATTCTTCTGAGATCTAAGGCTCTTTGCATTGTAAAGAGAAAAATGAATCATTTTTCGGATTAAACTACTATCTTTTTTTATTTAAAAAAAAAACCTTCGCAAAATGATACAATATCACTGAGAACACAAATTTTGCTTCAAAACACTATAATGTTCGAAAAATGATAAAACTTTTATTTAACTTTTAAGTGGAGTGGCATCATTCGACGTAGTATAAATTTGGGCGCATAAATTAATCACAATTTAAAATTGTCAAATATGTTGACATTTGTAATTTGTCAAATATGGGGATCACATTTTAAAATTGAAGTGCACGTAGTTTGAGATTGTGTGGGACATTCTCCAACACACACACACCAACATCATCAGTTTTAATTGTCGTTCAATAACAGCGGTCATGCTAAATGCAAATCCATTAGATATACGTAACTCTATCTCCATGCGCGCTGCATCAAATTCAACTAAAAATCAATCAAATAGTTAATGTTTATATATTTTTCGGCATATTTGGTTTATAAATAATGACGCAAAATGGAGAAGCAGCAAGTTTTTCGGCAAGTGGTTACATGGAAAATGTAGTAGACATTCGAAATGCAAATCAAATCAATGGCCAACAAATGGATCACTTATTTGATGAATTAGTAATCAAAACACAAAAATATCGAAATCGCTGGTTGACATCTGAAGCAAAAAATGACGCCATGAAAGATGTGATTGCAAAACAATTGCATGAAATCAAATCGTTGCGAAAACAATTGAACGAAATGTCAAAGAGACTACAAGTTGCCGAAACAACGTCAAAATTGAATGCGATCAAATACAATCGCATGTTCAACAGTTTAAAGTCAATTATTTCGGAGACAGATCCGAACATTGACAATGGCGGCAATAAAGCCACATAATGTTCGAATCAACAAATATCGCTCAGAGAGACATTTGAAAAAGACAACAAAAGAAAAGAACAGTAACCAAAAAAAAAATTGAATCATATTGTATTTGTATGTGTATGTTTGCCAATACACAATCGATTGTTTATTTGAAAAGGAATCGCAATCGCCGGTTTTTTGTATACAGTAACACAATCACGTACAACCACGTATAGATAGATTTGTTACAGTCAATATCGATTGCATTTGTATTTGTATAAATAACTTAGTAGCATTTGAATATACACCACTCAAGTCAAAGACGCTGCATCATCTCAACGCATAGTTTGTTTAAAGAAAAATTCAGTAAAACATTCAAAAATATTATATTGTATATCGTTTTGTCAATTTCACCATTTCATTAAAAATCGAAGAACATTTTCTTTTTAAAAAAATGGCATCATCTATTGAATCACAATCATTAACTAAATTTAAGTGTAATTTTTGCAACAATATTCCATCCGAATTGCAAGTTAATCGATGTTCTAACGGCCATATTGTTTGCTTGCAATGCCGTATTCAGCGTGTATTCTGCAAGGTAATATTTTTATCCACTTTTTTCTTTGCATAAATGAATTGATTTTGATGAATTCATCGCCAATCAATATTTATTCACTATTTATATCGAGTTGTTGTACTAGATTCTTAGAAGTTAGTGTTCTCAAGAGGAATTTTGGCAAATTTATTTTTAAAATAGTTTCATTTTATTGATTTAATGTAAAAAAAAATGAATTTGTCTGTTTCATGACAGTGTTCGTCCGATACATTTGTGAAAATACCAAATCCAATCGTGAAAATTGTCGGATCAACCAAAAAAGAATGCAAGTTTAAGAACGCCGGTTGTAATTGGGTGATTTCAAATGACGGTGAAGATCATCACGCTGAATGTAAATTTCGACCATACAATTGTATTGGTGCTGCATTGGGTATTTGGACGTAAGTATTTTTTTAAATTGTACATAAATTCATTATTACATTCACTTACAATCGAGCTTGATTTTTATGCAATTTTTTCTATTTGAAAGTTTTAAAAATATGCCCTAACCTAGTAAAGCCTATATGCCCTAATGACAATGCATAAATGTCTTGATTGTTTAGAATAAATTTAAGGAAAAAAAAAATTCATTATCTTATAAAAAGAAATGTCCAATTTCATTTCAGTTGCGACTGGATTGGTACTCAACAAGAGTTTGCCGCTCACATGAAGGAACATCATGTAGAAAATGGCAATTTCTTCAAACATTTTACAAACAGTTTCGTTGATTTTGAACCGGATAAGGAATGTGTCAAATTCAATCTGATCAATGCGTTCAATAAATATTTTGCCTTTTTGTACTTGAGTCATTTGGACGATGAAAATATTGTATTCGTGATTTATTTGCTGGGTCGAAAGATCGACGCTCATAAGTATGTTATTGATTTCGAGCTGAAGGCAAATAACAGTCTGCGAAAGGTGAAATTCATCGAGGAATGCTTCACCGATTCGGACGATATTTTGAAGGTTATAAAGGATCATCGTTGTTTTGTTGTACCAAAAACATTAATGGAGTCTTATTCATCGGATGGCAAATTGGAATTTCGATTTGTAATCAAACGCAGAGATGTCATGGAAGTGGAAATCGTAAACCAACATCAATTAATGAACAATTTATTGCACTATTAATTACTATCGTCACCAATGACTATCCTCATTTCATTTGAACAAATTATTTATCCAAAAAACTTCATTCTTTTATAACTTTAAGACACAATCCAATTAGATAATAAGAATACCAAGATAACCATTTTGAAGAAATAACATTGTCAAAAAACAAAAATAAAAACACCTGTCAAATCGTCGAAATAAAAATGCCGTAATTTCCTTTTCATTAGTTAATTTTTATTTATAATAACAATATATAATAACAGAAATAGTTGTTTTGTTGTTGTTGTTGTTGTTGTTGTTCTTAATTGTTCTTCTTTTTTTTGCTCTTCATATAATGTCACTCATCAATAGTTTTTTTTACCATATTTGGCTTAATGTATATATATTTATTTATTTACTTTTATGCAATTAATTATGCACTTGTATATATCTAGATAATGCAAACAAAAGCGTGAGCTTATTTTGTTAGTTTGGAATTTCGCTTGGATCGTGGTTGGAACGTTTTTAACGTTGAAAGATGTAACTTTTCGACCCATTCCAGAGCTAAATTTCCATGTCAAATGGAAGCCAGATCATATGCACAGTTTACAATTAAGATTACAAATTACAGTAGACATTCCATTCGTTTTATTTACTTCCAATAATATTTTTTTCGGCCGTGTAACGAAAATCCAGACCAATGTTATATTAAATTTAGCAATTCATCAAACCGAATAACATTTGGTTATATTAGAAATGAACCTTGTGTTCAGAGCATTGTGACAGCGTTATTGGTTTATAGATAATTTGGTGTTTATATTTGATTTTAAGCATCGTTCTGTTTTACGTTCTCAATTCCAAAGTGACAAAGTAAAATAGTTTCATGATGACGGAAATTGGTTGGTAATTTTTTCATGCAAAACGATAACTGATGGTCAAGAAACATGGCCAAATTTTCGATTCAAATAGCCGAATGGGATCATCACACAATTGTAGAAGGTTGATCCACTGTTTGGCACCGAATTTAATCCGCTAGTTTAAAACTAGGGGAACTGGGCGTGACCATAATATTGTCGCCCTGAAACTGTATGTGGAATCATGTAAGTAGAGTTAAGTATATCATATACAATTGATACTAATGATTGTCGTTTCTCTTTTTCATGTATTCACACCTAAATACCGTAGAAATAACTGAAACTACACACAAATCTGTTCTCAAATTCGACCATGAACATATATTGCCCTGGAAATGGGTGAATTTACGTTGAAAATCGTTCCTTGTTTTAGATCGCGGTCAATTTGCAAAATTTCAAACGATATTAATAGCAATTAACGAAATAACAAAAAAAAGAGTGAAGAAACACATATTGAAAAGAGTGAATGTTGTTTTTCTCTCTTTGTTAATTATTTGGATTTTTTCATCTAGATATTTCAGCTCATCTGGATAACGTTAGGCGATGATACGAAATGAAAACAATAGAAATGATTGTTATAGTTATGGTAGTATATTTATACCTATACAATACAACAATCACTTCTATTGTTTTCATTTCGTATCATCGCCTAACGTTATCCAGATGAGCTGAAATATCCAGATGACAAAATCCAAATATATTGTCTGAATTTGTTTGCAAATAATCTGCTCTTCAACAATTTCATGTCGTGTGTTTCTCCATCTTCCTTTCTCGTTTTCGATTTTGAGTACATGTCAGTTTTAATTGTTTTAATATGCAATCATTTCATTTTTTTTTTTTGGTTTTTCACATCTCTTGTTTTGTTATTTGTACAATGCAAGGATCCACTGAACGCATCATACATATTAATTTTGTGTGTGTGTGTGTGTCTTTTTGTTTGTTGTTGAGAAACTTGTGTACTTTCAATTTTTGGCTCTTAATCAAAGGAAATGAGATACTATTTGGAGTCTGACAACTGATTCTTAAATTCATTTAACAAAACTATGCCAAATGAATGACAATTATATTTAACAATACAATGGTACACAAATGATACTATTTGGTGAGTTAGAAAAGTTTGCTTTGTTAATATTTTTCTAAATTTTTTTTCGGTTGTGAATTGTGCGTAAATAAATCTCAGCTGCACAATACACACCCCAAAAAAAAGAAGCGAAAAATTAACAAAAAAAGAAGAAATTAAACTAAAATTGAATGTGTACATAAATATCATCGTGTAAGAGTGTATTTGTGTGTAGTGTTTGAATTTGATCAGTGTACATACAGTGTGTGTGTGTATCTGTAATGTATACTGAATATTCATGTGGTGCCCATGCCGTCCAGATGTTCCATTCGATGAATGTTCCTGTGGAACTGTGCAGCGATTCATCCAGAATGGACTTTAAATCATTTCACTTGAATTGAAACAATTGAACGTTTTCGCATTGTGCAAATATGTTATCGTTTCTTTCTTCGTATGTGAGTCGTCGATTTCTTTCATTCGAATCTGTTCAATCGTTTGTTTATGTGAAATCTTTTAAAGTCCAGAATGATCAATAAAATTTCGATATTATTTTCTTATTATGGTGTTATTGGTTATTGAATCACTTCATTTATTGTTCGCGTCTTTTATCGTGTACATGTATGTGTGTGTGTGAATATGTGTTTTAATCACTTTTCATACTCTCTCTCATGGATTGTGTTTGGAGTTTGTGTTTTGTTTCCGCAAACGCGCGCGCGGCTACTAGTAAATTTGTTTGGTTGTTGTTTTTGCACATTTAGTTTTTTTTTTTGTTTGCTTAATTTGGCTGTTAAAAACAAAATGTACGCTCAAAACGGTCAATATGCTGTATTTGCCTATGTACGCTAGCTTGTTCTCTACATATTCGTTCAGTTGGGATAGATTTTGTATCGTTATGTTGCTTTTTTTAATCTTTAATTTCTTTTTCATTTTTTTTTTGTTTTTTTTTTCCTGAGTTTTGAAATGGGGTATTATGGTGTATTGATGAGTTTGGATTGTGTTTGAAATATATATTCGATGACAGAAAAATGCATTCCTAAAATCGAAGCTCTGAAGTGTTCTGTAAGTGATTGATTTATACGATTTTTAAAATTTAAGTTCGATTTATTTCATCTTGCCTATATCAAATCGAACGGTGTGGGGTGTACGCCTTTCTTTGCAATTTAAAAAGGAGTCTTAATTTTAGTATTTCATTTCAAAGCGAAAAAAAAACCATCCACATGAAATGTTTGAATTAGTGTTGTTAGTGAATTGGACTCCGAAAAGTAGAATTCGAGACTACCGAAGAGCTTTCAATAATTCAATGTATTTTTTTAGATGAAGTTAATTAAATCTAGTTATGCGAATTATCAGAGTCCGACTTCATGCACATGTGAAATCTTAGCCATTTTTTTCCTGTTGTTGTCGAATTGTGATTAAGATGTGAGACATTTATTACATTACTGTCTATGTGTGTCTGTGTGTGCAATGATTAATTTGCCAATGAAATCGGTAAAAAAAGAGATTATTGATCTCTAAAATGATTTTGTTTCGATGGTCCTGTTTTTGAACTGTCTATGTTTTCATCATTTGTTATGAATTTTATTTTGTTTGTTCATCACTTGTGTGTTTTGGATTTTTATCATTTACAAAAATATAAATCGATATTTTCTTGTTCATTAAATGCAACGCATCTATATATTGTGTGTGTGTGTGTATGTGTGAATAAATTTGCGAGAAAAACTTTAATAAATCGAGTTGTGTGATTAAATTGTATGAGTCTGGTTTTTTTTTTAATGAGAATTTACAATTTTTACAATTTATTCCATTTTTAAGAAAAAAAAAAACAACAAAAAACGATACCATTTGGATTCATTTCATCTACTACCGATCAACTACTATACTATACTAAATTGCTACAAAATTTAAGATTATCGCAACAAAAATCTCAAATTTTCTGAACAATTGCAACGGAAAACAAACCATTTTGTTTTGATTTTGCATTTTATGAATTAACAACATTTCAAACTTTTTTTAACTTTTAAAATAATGCTTGACTTTTTTTCGTATAGTGCAAGGTCTTCATTCTTCATACAAAATGTAATAATCTATCAAATATTCATATACGAATCTCAGAATTCAGAGGAAAAATCTTCGTAGGTAAAGCAAAAGAAAAGAAAAACCAATGAGTGTCGAAGTTGGGAATTCATTATTCATACATGAACTACCTTTATGCCTATTGAATTCAAATATGGAAAATTTAAAATGAAATTAAAATCACTTAATCATAGCAACTATCAACTGTTCTTCTTTCATTTAAACAGTTTTCTGTACACATACGGTTTTAAATGAAAACTCAATGAACAAACGTAAAACATCACACATTTTGTTGTTGGAAGAGTTGTTAAATTAGAAAAATAAAACGAATGCTCTAAATATATCTTCGCAATGACGAAGAAAAATAATCAATTTTTATATCATCGATATTTTGAACAGTTCGATAAATATTCGAACTGTGATTTGTAACATTTGTAGGTGAGTGCAAAGCACAAGTATAACGTGTGATTGTGTTTGTGTATTTGTGTGATAAAAATTGACTGGCAACAAATATCTACTTGTGAAACTACATTACAAAAAAAATTATAAATATAATGCTTCAAAGTCTAGCAATCCCATTTCATGTTGTTGTTGTTGGTTTCATTTTAAATTTTCTAATAAGAAAACAACATAACGATAAATTTTCTTTTAAATCTTTTTGTTTTAATTGATTGCTCTGATTTCGCATTTCCTAATTGATAGCAAATTTCATAGATATTCACATTGATATTTTGTGATTTTTTTTTTGTTATTTGGTTAAGTTTTGTTTGTGGAGTAATTCGTAATGAATGGCTTAAGCGAAACCCCCAATTGAAGGAATTATAAAATGGTAGATTTTTTTTTACATTCAAAAATTCAATTTATATGAATGTACATTGTTCATGGAATTTAAATTTTTTTTTCGAATTAAAATTGGAAAAAAAAGTGAAAAAAATTTACTTTTCGTATTTCGTTTATCAAATTCTTGATTAAACAGACTAAATTGCTCGAAATCCATTTAAAACTATTTGCGTGCAGAATAGGCAACTTCAAACGTAACGGTAGTAGTTCATTATTTATTTATTTTTCATTTTCTTCGTGTTTGAATGGGAGATTGATTTACTGAGATGAGTTTTTGTTTGTAATGTTTCAGGCTTTTGTGTATGCTTTTTTTATTAATACAATTAAGCTAGCGATACAGCGCATAGGTTGATAAAAATTCGTTCCGTCTTAATATTTTAGCTAGTTTTTTTGTTGTTGTATTTATCTTTTTTTTTGTTCGGTGATGATTCACATGTTAATCACCTATATTATGGTGACCACAACCACCACTGTCACTGAAAATGTTACACGTGACATTTGGTTTAGCCGCTATTTTCTGTTGATGATGTTTTTGTCAAGTCAATACCACACTGTTGTTGATCAATATCCGCAGGATGGCTGGCCGGCAGGGCAAGCAAATGTTAGGCCTCTAGAAAAATTAGTGCAGTCGGTTTAGGTTCCAAATTTGATTTTTTCGCTTCAACCACTAAAAATGTAATGTCCGGCTTATCCGGATTGGCAAAGCATTCGGCGATAAGGCGTGCAACATCCTGCATCAAAAACAAACAAACAATTTTAATTTTTTATATTTTTCGAAAAAAAAAGCCAACAAAAGTATGGACAAATGTTCACCTGATGATGCATTCCTTCGACTTTATTACCATCAACTTCAAGAATCAATTGGCCGACCTCTAAGCCACCAGTTTCGTATGCGGCTCCATGTTCCTAAAAATCAATTCAAAGTTTTTTTTTTATTATAGAAATTTTTTCAAAGAAAAAATCCTTGTCGCCTTTTTCAATGGGCATTTAAAAAAAATCAATTTACATGGATGTTGATGATTCTTGGTAATGGATGTTTCGTATTTGCACCGCCTTCAATAGCAATTCCTAGTATTGGTTTTGTCTTTTTAACGGTAATATGTAAATTTCCTCTATGATCAGGTACGACGTGTGGATTGTGTTCGTGATTTGGATCGTTTGATAATCCATTTGGATGCTCACCCGACAAACGCTGCATTGACTGTAATACGCAATAAAAAAGAAGATAAACAAAAACCAAAAATCTAAATCAACCATTTAAATATTCGACAGTATGTACCTGATGCCTGCGTAAATTGCCACCAAGTAGATTTCCCGATTCTTCTTTCATATCAAAACTTCTAGACAGTTTGTTTGCTAGTTCCTGGTCGTTTATGTCGCCAATCAAACGGCCAATCGAATTAGGATTTTAAAGGGGGAAAAGTGAAGGAAAAACTTATTTATGATTCACAGGAGTGCCAATAACACAAATCTTGATTCACCAAAATAAAATGAATTGTGTTTTTTTTTTTTTTTTTTCAAGAATCAATCATCGAAAACAAAAGAGATTTTAATCTTTTAATGGTCGAATTAATAATCGGTTTTCTTAAGATAAAATCTAATTATTTTATTTGATGAACATCAAAATTATGAATTTGCTTTAACACATTCGAACGACGGGTTTGAATTAAAATTATGTAAAAAAACTGATAATGTGAACGACGTTAAAATAAATGTATATATATTTGGCGATAATCGCATTTCAATGAAAATGACATTTTTTTAATTGCGTTTCAAATATGTTCGTTTGCTGAAACGTTTAATTTCACGCCTGAATCACATCCAATTTTCATCCAGTGCATTCGGGCCTTTCCTTTTTCGTCAACGATTTCATTTCATGATTTCGAAAAATTCAAGCCAAAGCGCCGCAGGAATGAAGACGAATAATGTATATTCAACTTTAGATTCAACTATGCAAATGGAAAACGCAAAAATATGAAAATTAAGGGAATAAATACCTCTCTACTTATGGTGACAACGAAAATATATATATTTATATATAGAACGAAACACACACATTAAATGGATGAATATATAGTGAAACCTACTCGTAAGATCTACTCTGGCTTCGAATATATATTATATAAATACTTTGAAAGTTAATTAAATTCGATGATCATTGGACTTACAAATCAAACAGAAACAAATTTTCTAATTTGTCCATAATTATTATTAGACACTAACCCAAAAGGGGAAGGGGATAATATTCACAGCGATATTCGATTCGATAACAGTAAACCAGCACACACAGAAACAAGTATTCGAGTACGCTTACTTGCACTTGCGGTGTTAGTAGAGGCTTTACCCCTCAAAATGAGTTACGCACTCTATTTAACTCTATTTTTGGTGTTAGTTTCATCGAAGTAAACGCATCACAGTGAAAAAAGAGAGTGCGTAACTCATTTTGAGGGGTAAAGTCTCTACTAACACCGCAAGTGGGAGTAAGCGTACTCGAATACTTGTTTCTGTGCAAGAATATTCAATCAAAATATACAGGGTGGGCCAGAATAACTGAAGGGTTTTTACTTAACATTCTTACGACTGTACAATGACTTTTGATTCACTCGGTCTTGCACCGCTATGTTTGTTGATCCTTAGCCTAACTATTATGATAATGCGTATTTTTATTCATTGTTTATTTGAGACGTAATAATAATGGATGTGAAACATCAGATCATCTTAAAGAAGCGATAAGATTACTGCCTAAAATGATAAAAAAATAAAATTCACGTAAATAAGCGTATACTTTCCACTTAGTCCGTTGCAACGGAAAACAAGTTTGCATAGAATGCAGCGCCAACTTTATGTGAATTTTAATTTTTATCGTTTCGAAGCATTGATATTTTCCTACAGCTACAAAACGAACAGGTTTGCATGACATTTATTAAACGTACTATCAAACGATACAAGGAACGTGGAACTGTCGATATACAAAAGAAACCCGGGAGAAAAAGATCCGTTCGTACAAAAGCACTCATCAAACAAGTCAAAGCCAAAATTCGCCGAAATCGCCAAAGAAGTGCCAGAAAGCTGGCTCAAGAGCACAATATTAGCCGGTCTTCGATGCGACGTGTTTTAAAAGAAGCAGTGGAACAGTGGTTACGAACAAATTTGGCCGATTTCATTGACAAAGATTCATGGCCGCCATCGTCTCCCGACTTAAACCTATTGGATTTTTTTGCTTGGGGCTACATGACATCGAAGCTCAATAGTCTAAAGATTACGAAGGTTACCAATTTGAACACATTCAAGAAGAAAATCGTAAAGATTTGGAACGATATTCCCATGAATGAAATTCGTGCCGCGTGCGACTCGTTTTCAACACGTCTGAAGCTGGTAATCAAACAAAACGGTGCAAGAATCAAATCCAAAGGCTAAAATCCTACTAGAAAAAAAAAATATATAATTCATTTTATTCAAAAATTAATTTTTTAGAGCCAAAAATACATCCTTCAGTTATCCTAGCCCACCCTGTATATACATTGATACCGAACAAAAAAGTAACGTTTTTTTTTTTTTTTTTAAATCCATTTTAACATTGAAAAATGTAACCCATTTTGGTGGTCATTTTCGTGTGAAATAGGAGATGAATTATAGGCATACATTTCAAATAAATACAGATTCCACATTTTACAACATAAATGTGAACCCAACCCAACATAACGTCAAGTTTTAATTTTGCATTTTAATTCGAGTGATTCATTTGTCGCAGAAAAAAATAAACAATTTTTATACAAAAAGACTGTGTGATTTGATTTTGGTTTTAGCAAACAGATTTTTTAACGTCTGTTATTGCAGCTATTTTAAGAATTTATTATATAGAATTTGATTACATATCGACTTTCGTCAAAAAATTCTTGAAAATACACAGAAACGCGGTAGTTTTGTAAGTTGTACTATAGAGCTACTTGTTACAAGGTCGATGGAGTATTCTGGCTATGTTTTTTCGACAGGGCATCTAACTGAGCAATTTTAATCAATATCGTAGAATTTGAACTCGAGTCACAACAAACAAAGCAAGTTTCGCGAAAAGAAGTTTTTGCGGATTGGGCTCAGGAATCCGAAAAATTGGGTTTCAAGCAGTTTCAAGTTGATACCGAAAACAAAATGTATTGGTTTTTTCTAAGCTTTTTTAAAAATGAGGAAAAAATACTTTTCAATTACTCGTAAATTGAGATTTTTGAATATTTTTGTAAAATCACAAAGTAAATTCCAGAATTATGTACTCTTCCTGTACGCTTCCTGTGGTCACACAATCGAAATGTGTACAAATAGCTTTTGATAGGCATTGTTAATATAGTATTACTACAGCTGAAAATTCGATGTCACATTTCTCGGTGCCGGGTAAAATGAATATACCATTTCAGTGCTTCAAGTGGAGAAGTAGATAATTTCATAATCTCTCAGAATAGAATTTTTTTCATTTTAGTACAAATTCAGTTTATTGGTATATATCTATGCATGAAATAATCTCCTAGCTCAAATTTAGTGAGTAATCACAGAGCCTGCGGCGCACAGTTAAAAACCTTTCAAATTTTAACTAATTCTTTTTTGCTCATTTTTTCTTCTTCTATTGGTGACGTTGAAAATAACTGAAACTACATATGAATCCGACCCCAAAATTAATCGTCAACATATAGTTTAGTGACTCAATAGAGTAATAAAGGTCTCTAATTTACTACGAAAATATTTTAATTAAATAATGTTGTAGCTACTCTGCCTATAATTTAATAATATAATTTTGCATTTCTTTAATCGGCTGATTTAATATGTATTGTATATAATAACAATAGGTAAATTTTGGACAATTTTTTCAAATATTCATTCAACGAAGAATTGCACACTGCACTCATTTTATCAATCAAACATTTTCCCTTTTTTCTTCAAAAAAATAAAAATAAATAAATTCTCATCGTATGACTGCCGTAATTAAGCCGTTCATTTGAACATAGAGCAAAACTGGCCAATGATGTTTGAGGTAATGAAAATGAAAGAAAATTAAAATAAAGGGTAGAATGGAACGAAAACTAAGTCGATGACTTATCACAATTTGTGACCACTGGTGTCTTATTACGATTTTAATTTGTTATGAATGAACATTGATTTTACGGAATGTGTGTTGGGATCACATTGCACTTTTTTCTGCATCCATTCACACTCTTACATTCGATACACGTTCAGTATGAATGAAAGTGCGATTTGTCTATGTATTTTCTGCAATATTAAACTTGATGTGTGACTTTTTTTTGATGATGTGTTTTTTCGTTGTTGTTTTTCTTTTCTATTTTTAATTGTTCACTTGTAAATACGCATATAAATTATAACTTACGTAAGAAAACGTAAAATGAGGTGTGTGTATGTGTGTGTGTGTGTGAAAGTCAAAATCGACTGTCAAATTCATATGAATAAGTAACTTACGGACTTTATTACGTCGCGTCCAAAATACCACGACTTGACACGTTGTGTTAAACCACCAAATTGAGAACGAATCCCTTCGAGATAGCCCCCCTGAAATGGAATATCAGTTGTCCATATCGTGACTGATCATACGATTGTTTTTTTTTTTGTGTGTGTTTTTGTAGTTGGTTCATATTTTTTTCGATATTTTAATTTGTGTGGATAGTTTCGTTGTCAAAACTAAAATATTATGGTACACAACAACAACAAACGAATGGAAATCAATCTAAATATCATTCCAACCAAAAAAAACGCATATATAAATGTTTATAATGATTTGTGTTTTGTTTTTGTTTCGGTTGCTCTTGAAAATATGCGTATCTATATGAATGAAAATTGAAGAAAATTTGTTGCTGTACGAAAAAACGAACATAAATTTGAACGAAGAACAAATGTGTAAAAGTGGAACGAATTTTTTGAACGGAAAAACAAAATATACATAGAAATAATATGGAAATTATTGTTTTTTTTTTTAAGTTTAATTGAAATATGTCGATGTAAATTTCATTTTAATTTTCATGTTGTTTAAGTGTTTTGTGTATATGGGTGTGTGTTGTATGCTCTAGTAGATGGCAATGCAAATTAGTATTTTTTTGTTTTGTTCAATGATGAACAATGTTTGAGATGAAGGATTTTATTGACTATTTGAAATGGTCACATTGTGAAGCTGAACATAGAAAAATGTAGAGAGAAAGAAGAGTAAGAGATAAGGCGAGAATGTGCAAATGAGCGGAAAAAATCATGGCTAAAACGAAAATCAATGAATAGCAGAGAAGAAAATACAGTTATTTCGAATGAAAATTATTATGCGAACAAAACTATTTGAATAATAATTCAAACTTAATAAATTTATCCGAGTTAAGTGTTGTGTTTCGGTTGTTAAAGTTCAGTCTTTTACATTTTGTAGTTCTCTTCAAGATTTCAAATGCCACCACACAAGTGTTTATTAGAACGAATTAGTTGAATGCATTAGAATTCTTATCAAGCGCAACGAATGGATGAATGAATGAATGAAAAAAAAGAGAACTATAACTTATTTGAGAGAGCGAGAGCTGAAGTGATTGAGTGAGAAAGCGAACAAGTGAGAGAACGGGAGAGAAAGAGACTTCGTAACACGAAAGCAGTTTATGGATCATGTTTTGTGCACGCAAGCATATTTAATATTGCAGTATTTTTTTCTCCAAATTCGGTTGATGTTATTGGTGGTGGTGGTGTGTGTGTGTGTGTGTGTTTGTGGTATTTTTCTATGATTTGTTGTTGTTTTCTATTTTCATTTTTACTTTGGGGTGGGAAAAAAATATATTAAATTTGTTGTTCGTCGACAAAAAAAAAATGTGATGTAGAAATGAATGTAGAACATACACACACAAACACATGCTTACAGACACACGCAATTCAATATATTTAAAATGAAACTGAAACTGTAAACACAAACGCAACTTGATTGTTTTTGGAATGGTGTTGTTTTTTTATTTATTCGATTATTTTGTATGTGTGGGTTTTTTTTGTTTTTAATTTTTGGTTCATTCAAGTCATGGTGCCAATTAAATCTAGGAAAGCAAAGTGTGAAGCCAAGATTGACTTTGTAAGCTGCACGCTAAAAATTTGTGCCAACCGTAAAAACGAGCTGTAAAAATGCTTGTCCATCTTTCTAATTGGTTTTGATTTTTGGCCAAAGATCACGCTTTGCATCGTTCTATTCATATCGGACACACAATGACAATGTGCTTGGTTCTTTTTTTAAAGCTCATTATGTTGGTGTTTGGTGTGCGTTAGTAAAAGAGGGTGAATGATCGATTTGACCGCATTCAATTGCTGTTTAAAGCTTAATTCGTGACAGTGTGAGAAGGAGAAATAGAGAAAATAAAAACAATAAAAACTACGACTTAACAAGAAAAGCTTTGAATATGTGATGCATCTGATATAGATGCACACGACTCATACATTCGCAAAAAAAGACAAACCATTAGCTCTGTATTAGTGCAATTTTTAAGTTTTTGTCCATTGTTTTCTTCTTGCAGCTCTGTTTAAATCTAATATATTTCTTTTTCATTTAAAGTTCATTGATCAGAATATGCAGTGTGCAATGCTTAACAAACAAATTTGAAAATAGATAAATAAGCTTCTAGAATGCCATATCAATTCGTTTGCATCACTTTTTTTAACATGATGGTCCAAAAATATTGATTATGAGCGTGGGGACGATGGAAATTCATTTAAAATGATGGAATTTATTAAAATTTCACAATTGAAACATTGTGGATGTCTAACCCAAAATTCATATGGCCGCTGAAAAAGGCAAGATAATTTAGTCTATCGAACCCAATAACGTCATACTACGTGAATGAAAAGTATCGATTATTATAATGACGAAATAAAAAGTTTCTATTGCGTGCGATGGACTTTTCTCTTGCTTCCAATAGCCTAGTCATGTGAAGTTCAAGGTTTGTTCGAATCTTTTTAGTTTTTGATCAAGTTAATTCTATTCGGTGAATATATTGGAATGGAGGTGAAGGAATTTTTAGGAGTCCTAAATCTGCAAGTTGGATATTTATGCATTGGGATTTCTGGAAACACAAGCGGGGCAACTCTCTTTTTATTCGTTTTCAGCTTAGATCACATATGATCGAATAATCGAAATTACGAAAATTTTCCGTAAAATATCTTATTTTGTTGAGAAAATCAAACAATTTTCATATATTTTGAGACTTTCCCACTTGTTTTCGTTCGAAAAATAAAAACATTCGATTCAATTCATTAATCAAATATCTATTGCGAGTTTCTCTAAAAGTTACGAATTTCACTATATATGACTGCATGCAGATCATAAAATTCTATATTAATTATGCGCTACAATTTCGTCTTGTTGGCAAAATTTGAATGCAAAACAAATGTATATTTTATATATATATGTGTGTTTTTTGGTAATTATTTGTTCGAATTTCAAACGATTTTTTGACTAAATCAGCTGAAGAATTGATTATATGCATACAAGGCGATAGATAGATTCTAATATAACGAATAGAAACTTTCAACTATTATTCTACAAACAATCTACACAACGGCTAAATATAACTGTGAAACATCTGTTCAGTGGGTATCTGATGGTTTATCGAACTAAAAGAAAACTAACATAATTCGAATGCGAAAAAATTGTCTAGATATATAGCGGAGAATGAAAATGACTTAACGAAAATCACACTTCTATGTCTCGCAGAAATGTGCATTAGGTGAAAATCGGAAGAGGTGAGAGGTTATTTTCATTCTCAACTGCACCGCATTCGAAATGCATCGAAAAAAAATGAAAATAAATAAATATTTGGCAGACAATGGAAAAACAAAAGAGAAGCAGAGAGAGAGAGAGAGTGAGTGAGAGAGAAGGAGAGGTAAACGAATCGAATGTGTTATCGTATCTTATTTCACGTGGATGAAAATCATATACATAATAAAATGTGTGTATTTGTTATATTTTAGTATTTTGTTGATTTAAATATTATATTAACGTTCAATTATATATCGTTCTGATAATGATTAATGTTATTATCGTGTCTAAAACAATCCACCGATTCAAATATGCGTTTGCATGATCAAATAGCTAAACATAATGATGATAAAGTGGATATATCTGTGTGTGTGTTTTTTTTTTTTTTGTTGTTGTTTTAAACTAACCTGATCCTTTATTCGTGTCAGAGTCATTTCCAATTGGATTTGGTTTTTGTTTTGTGAGGCATTGTTTAAAGTTTTTTTTTATTTGAGGGAGGCCAGTCAAAAAAAGCCGACAAGTGCGATTGAATGGCGTGGAAGAAAGAGAAAGAGAGTATGTTTTCCGTAAGAACGAACAAAAAAGAAACAGAAAGAATGAAGATATACATTAGAAGAGAGATATTTATTTAGATAAATTAATAATTGATTGAATTCAATTGGCGTGTATTATGTAAAATAAATGTACCAAAATTACAAATGCGAATGCAAATTTTGCGGTAAACACGTGAGAGACTATTTATACTTTTTTTTGCGTATAATTGAATAAAGAAGTAAGAATAATACGAAAAAAGCAACATAAAATAGAATAACTAAAAGAAGAAAAACAAATTATATCACAATTACCGCGTCATGGCCATATTCCGTTCTCGCTAGCTGTGATTCACTAACACGATTCGAACGTGTTCCGTTACTCGTGTAATCCTGCACATTTTTTTCGTTCGTTTTCAATTTTGTTTTTTTTTTTGTTCGTGCATGCCAAGGTAAAGAGGCACAGCCACAGGCCACATGTGTGTTTTGTGCGATTTGTTTGTTTATTTGTATGTTTGTATATATGGGAAGAACAGTGATGAGTGAGTGTCGGTTTGATTATTGGTTTAGTGTGTGTGTGTGTGTATATGTTGTTGTTTTTTTGAAGAGTGTTTGTATTTTTTGTTGTTTCGAAAAGAAAGCATATCAACAAAAGCGCAAAACGAAAGTAAAAAAAAAGAATCATCAATAAAAGAAGTTTTTTTTTCACGAATAATATGTAAAATTAACAAATCGTATTTTATATTAAATTCGACTAAATTGATAAGCGAGAAAGAGAAAAGGTCGTGATGGGGGAATTTTAAATCTAAATTAAATTCACACTTACTCTATGTCTGTCTCGATCGCTCAAGTATGGATCTCTACTGTACACAAGTTCATCGTAACGTGTACGATCTTCTGGATATACTAACTCTCTAATTTCGGTAACCAGTGTATGCTGAACGTAAATACAAATTAAAATGTTAACCAACATAAGTAAAATGTATGGGGAGTATAAAATGAACAACACAAAACAACATCGAATTTAACATTTTGAATTGTTTTTGCTGGTCGTTTAAAATGGAATCGTTGATTTGAAACATGAATTAACTTACTTTCTCTGGAGTATCTAACATTTCTAATAAAACCGAGACAAAGGCATCAATGGTCATCCCTCTACTACCATATTCGTTAATATAATATGAAAGACTAGCAAAATTATGTCTAGGTAATAAAGATCGTGCTTTTTCTTCTACCATAGCGGATATAGGACATTTTCTTCTGTTCCTGCACCGAATAATTAAAAAAAAAAACAGAAGATGTAAACCAAAAAAATCAAAGGTAATTCAAAACAGAAGGATGGCGTAGGAAATAAATAGTGAGAGAGAGAGAGAAAGAGAAAGAAAGATAAATAACCATTAACGATCACAATCTTTTTAAAAAGTCAGTTTTTTAAGCAAATTGCACAGTTTTTCTTCTTTTTTTTTCTCAGTGTATGTTGGTCGATATAAGTTTAAACAAAGACATACCTTGGCTCAGTTGGACTGTAGGCATCCCAAGGCTCAGGCTCAACGGAAGTACACGAATGAGGTACTTTGCCAACATCTCTAACAACTAATGACATACGCTTATGATATTTTAATTGGCTAACTGCTTCGTCGTGTGTTACATCCAAGAATGATTGGTTATTCACTTCAAGGATTTGATCTCCAATCTATTGTCAAACATATTTTCAAATATTTAGTTGTTGAAATGAAGCAAACCAAAATAATTATCCGCTTAAGTTTAACACAAACCATTAATCCAGCTCGATCGGCAACGCTATCCTTATCAACACCGGTAATAAAGATTCCTAAACCATATTCGACACCGCCACGTATCATTAAACCAAGCGATTGACCGGGTTCAATGAGGAGTTCAACATTTCGAATGCGATCGCGTCGATCATGTTTTCGTCCACCATATTCGACTGGTGGTGAGGTGGGACGCCCGTGTCGATCCATCCAAGAGCACGTTTGCCTTGACGGATGATTATATGGATCACGTAATGGTGGCCCAAATCCATGTAATGGTGCCGTTGAATTAAGCATTGGTGGTGCACGAACCGTCATACTTATTTGTCTTGACGATTTTAATATCTGTACACATCGCTGAAGATTGAGAATAAATTTATTAAAATATAATAAAAATCTCTTCTGTTTTTTTTTTGGTATGGAAAATATTCGCTTAACCACATACAACATTAACCACCACCATTCAATATGGCACATGATAAATGGTAAGGGTGTTTCGGTCACACAAAACACACACACAATGCCATGATACAAACATACTAATCACATTGATTGCGTGCAATTCTAATGCGCGTACACAGTAGAAAAACCACAAGTGGATTGATTGACTGGCCCATAAAGCCACCATCACCAATGTTGGCCGTGACATCAAAATCAACTAATGCGATACATTTATTTAAATACTCAAGAAAATGCTTGCTCCAAACAAAAGAGAGAGAGAAATAACAACAGAATTCTACGTCGTTTGAATATTTAAATAGTTTACAAATTATTTAAACTATATTGCAAATGGTTTTCAAGCTGGCATGTCATAATCCACCGTCTTTGCATACAATGCAAATGAGAAATAGAGAATATGTAGCTCAATGTTATACATATTGTCGTTTAGTAGGCCACCTTTTTTTCCACACACCAAATATTATTTTGTAATGTGTATGGACAATAGTTCAAATGATCATATATAAGTGTTGAATGCAATGAATGGAATGTGTACTTGTGTGTCGGAAAATAAATGACAAAATCGATGGTAATGTAATACCTTTAATGCTTCGTCGTGGCTAACCGATGTAAAGGGATTACCGTTAACTTCAAGTATTGAGTCACCCGGTCTCAGTCCAGCACGTTCAGCTAATGAACCTTCTTCGATGCGGGACACATAAACACCTTGGCCAGCATCTTTACCGCCTTTCACACATATTCCAAAGCCATGTGTATCCTGTTGGTCACGTGACATTTGCACCGTTCTCGTTGACAATTCATGAATATTTGTTACACTTCGATCTCTATCACGTTCACGCTCCCTCAGTGTCTGAATGTGACATACGAAAATGTTTGAACATTTCAAAATATTAAATGAACAACAAAAAGTGAATTCAATCGATTTGACTTACTCGATTCACGTGATGTGTTGTTGATGGTGGGCTACTCGCTGGGCTTCGTCTGCCTCGTTCACGAACAATGCCATTGCTATAATTATAATTGCTAGGCGCCGAAGATGAGGATGTCGTCGTGCCGAACAAACGAAGCACTTGTTCCGGTGATATTGGCCGTTTTTTGTTGATATTGCTATGTATGAATAAAACAATCGATTAAAAAAAAACAAATCAATCAATTGAAAGCGAACCAAAATCATAGGATATATGAATTTGATGAATGATATTTACGCATGTCTTGAAGAAGAAACATTAACCGATGATGAACTGATTCCAGTGCCACCGCCTAACATTGACACATTGGCGTTTGGAATGTGTGATGAGGAACCCAAGTAAGCTCCACGATTTGGGAGTGAACCTCCCTTTGGTCTAAAGCACACACACCGAGAGAGAGAGAGAGAGAGAGAGAGAGAGAGAGAGAGAGAGAGAGAAAGAGAAATGTTTCCGTAAATTGGTTGAAAAGTTATAAAGCGGTTACAACTTACGGATTTTGTTGTGGATAATAATGCGGCGAATGAGGACGTTCGATGATTGTATAGGATGTGCCAGGTGGTGAATAGTATCGTCCACTGGCCCGTAATGAGCTCGTGCTATTTGTGATTCGTGATGAATTGCCATAGGGCTCAATAATGTCTTCAGCTTCAAAACTATTTGAACGTATATGGCTGGTGCTAGCCGATGTGGATGAATGGTGTAGTGAACTGTGTGGTTGATGATAGTTTCTTGATGATGACGACCATCTTGATGGTCCTAAATCACATAATTCGGCGTAATCATTACCTATAACATATGTTTTAACATCAAATAACACAATCGATTATTATTCACAATTTTATTGATTTTAAAATCCCAATAACTTACCGCTTTGCATTGCTTTATGAGATCGTTTGATGCACAGTCGTAACCGTTGCAATAATATGAATGTTATGTTCAGTTCGAGTTGTTTCAGTCAATAAACTATGTGTGTGTGTTTTTTTTTGTAAAAAAAGAGAATGAAATAAAAAATGGAGTGAGTAAAAAGTTTTGAATATTCATGGATGAAATATACTATTTTCAAGGTCTTTCGAAAATATATGGGAAGCCAGAAAAAATAATCTATATTTAGATTGTTTCAGTGATATCAATCAAAATGAGTGGGCTATTCTTGGCATAACATACGCAAAACATGACTTCACATATGCTACAAATATCTGTATTATGCGAGAGGGTGTGCTTTTGATGCCAAAATCCAACCGAAATCCGAGCTGGAGCACAGCTGCAATCTCGATAACCACTGTATATTTTGGCAAACGGCTAATAGTCATGTTATGCTTGAATTATGGTGATATATATAGGCTAGAGTGGACCAAAAAAGCTTTTTTCCGATGCCTGCACATTTGAGGACGATTTTTTGAGCTTTTTATGATTTTGAATGCAAAAAAAGTATTGATTTTATGGTAAGCTATTGTATGATTTTTGTAATAGGTTCTGGCACTGGAAAATCTAGGGACTAAATGACCAAAAATTGATGGGAAAAAAAAAAGAAATCTAAAGAATTTTTGGAGCTAATTCTATTTAGTGTAAAATGCGTTTTTGGAGGTAAACATTTCAAGAGGTGGTTCTCAAACGCTAGAGGGAGACAATGTGACAAACTTATTTAACACACGATAGTTTTGTACTATTATGTGAATATATGACACAAAATGATTGTGTTCAAGGATGCTGTTCACTCAGAATTCACTCCTTGATGAAACATATTTTATGTGTTTGTTTCACTTAGCATCATTATTAAAAACTCAAATATTTTCGATTCACCCTAATCAGTAACAAAGAGGTATAGAAATATGCTTACAAACCCTTAATTTGTAGAAGCATAATATATCAAAAGTACAACATGATTGCACCACTTCTAGGCTAATCATAACCGACTCAATTGGAATGGAGGCATTCGTGCGATGCTTTGTCTCTTGTGTTTAACGCAATCAATTCATGTTTCTAGAAAAGAATGCATATGAGGTCAATTATTGTGCTTGTTGCTCCTGTTCTATTTCGATGATTCGCCGATTCACTTGTGATCACTCTTTTGTTTGGTTCTTTTTTTATTTATCTATTGCACTGTCGATAATACACTTGCACATCACTGTTTTTTCTCACTCTCTCTCTTTCTCACTCACTCTCACTCTCTCTCTCTCTCTCTCTCTCTCTCTCTCTCTCGCTCACTTGAGTTACAGCTTTAGCATGTTAACATTTTATTGAATGCTTGTGAATGGAAATTCCATCGTACATATTGGGCTGTTCTATGTTTTGTTTTTCCATATTTAACATGATTCTCCACTCAAAGTCATACGTTTTGCATTTTCACGATCACAGGCAGCATTGTTAGTCGCAAAATCTACAAGAATATATACAGAATTAAATAGCTTGATTGAGAATACCATTTGGATATGAAATTGTTTGCAAGTATTTAAGTTTATGTGTTTGTGTGTGTGTGTGTGTTTCGCTGTAATCGAATTGAATATAGACTACTGTTGTTTACTATTTGCTGCATTTGTTTCCATTTGCATGATATCACCAAAGTTCGCGTTAAGACTCACGTTTTATAATACATAAAAGCTTCATTCGATTGCTATCTAGCATGCACTCAATTGCATATATGCGCACCTCAAAACAATTGCAATGTACCTCCTAGCTATTTCGCATGCACTGCCACCATATTCGTAAGATAGCAACAACAACAAATTATGCAGCAAAATTTCGATATAAAGACGAGCAACATACGAAGAACAAAAAAAAATATGGTGAAATAAATGGAAGAGAATTGAAAAAGCAAATTCCACACCGACATACATATAGAAAAGTGGGAAGGAAATCGGCAAGAATTGTCTAATAGTTAGATGTTGTCAAGAAAATGTTTACAACTTATAGCTATTTGTATGGTTGTTCCGATTTAGGCTTTCAACTATTTTTAGCTATCTACTTATTGCACCACTGATTCAATTATGCATTTCCGCGAAATTTCATGAATAATTTCGGCTTTCGCACATATACCTCATCATTCGAAACAATTGAATGAAAAATATAAGCACGCATTTACACACGAAAGCCTAGACGTCGTCAATGGAAATCTTTTACTAACAACTTGGCTGACGAACAACAATCAATTGGTCAACAAATTTGCTGTGTGTTTTTTTTGGAAACAGATGTGCAGTGCACACTTGGTGGTTCAAATGACGTACGCCAAACACGTTAAATAAAAACGACACACAATTTAAGCCATCGATATAAACACAGATATAGACATAGTCGGCACACAAATTTCGACAATGAATATAATACCAACACCGAAATATGAACACGAAAAAAAAACTTTATTAGTAAGCAAAATAGCACGGTAGCAACCGAAATAAAAAGGTTATTTCATTAAAAATTGACATATTAATTTATTTCTCTTGTTTATTTCCCTAGTTACCTGAAAACTGTAACGTCACATGCAACCTCTTTCTTTCTCTTTCTCAGTCGCTCACAAGCATTATATTTGAAATTTTCGAAAGAATCTCATTTTTGGTACTACATACCATTTTTTTACTAATAAATTCAACTTTAAACTATGCACATCAGAAAACGCATTTCTGGCATTTGACCAATTCTACTGCAGTCAGAATATGTATAATTTCTCACATTCCGCAACAAATATTCCATCCGCATTTCAGTTTTTCTTTTGCTCTATTTTCACATATAATATTCATTTGTGTCTAATTGTATAAATTCATTCAATGTACCGTTTTTAAGAGAGAGAGAGAGAGAGAGAGAGAGAGAGAGAGAGAGAGAGAGAGAGAGCACATTAAATGAAGAAGATGAATAAATATTTATTTCATCCGAATTTCTCTCTATGTTTGTGGTTTGTTTAATAATAAATGGCATTTATTTTTCCAGCATTCGACTTGAGGTGTTGTGTGCGTCAAGAAAATCAATTATTTCAAGTTTTTTTTTTGTCTTCGATGCGATGATGCTTATAGTTCATTTCGATGTGTTCATATATTAGTAATCTGAGAAGCACGACATAAAACATTTCAACAATTCAATTTCATCCATATCCATACAAAATCGAAAATTTCATAATGAATGTATGTCGATGGAGTCGACAGGATAACGATATTTTAGACGAAGCTATTAGTCAATCGATATCTTCAATAGCGCCCAGACAATTTTTCATTAGTAATTTCAATGAAATGGAGTTTTTTTCCACTCTATTTTCCGCTCTGCACGATAATTTAAACGTTTCTTAGCAGCATTCGAAACGTCGAATTTTCTACCATATCGATTGGCACTGTGTAGAGTTGGTGGGACAATTTGTAATCTCAATACATGTTTTATTGTCGTAAGTGAAGTTTGAAAGCGAAGCGAGTGGAAAAATCGAACATAAAAAAAACTATGGTAATGGAGGGCGAAGAAGGAGCGATGGTGTAGGCAACACATTGGACCAAATTTGTATGTGTGTTGTGATTCTGTGTGTTTACATGTTTTTCTTGTGAATCGACGGGAAGTGAAAAGAAGCTTCTTAAATAAAATTGATAGTTTGGCGTCGTTTTATTGAATCTTGGCTTATGTATTTTAATAAATTTTAAATTCCGGAAATTCATGTTGTAGATATTCAATATTTTGGTGAATTCTTTAAAATATCAACATCATATTGGAATTCCAGCAAGAGGTAGACATTTATGTTTGTATATCATTTCTGAAGCATAAACATTTTTCATAATTTACCATGGAAACGACACATTTATGGTCATCGATTCGGATATTGAAGAGTGCATAAAATCAAAATTTCAACATTTCTGAATGAAAATAAGCTTCAAAAAATAGCACACTGTCTGTTTGTTCATCATTATTGTGCGGTATCTCTATATCTCCCCCTCTGTACTTACAAGCGTAAATCTTTAAGAGCTATCCAGAGAGTTGAATAAGAAAAAAAATGGAGAACAACACGTAAATAGAAAAGGAAAATGTTTGTGGTTCTGCTCAAGGTCGTGGCTCTTGAAAGCGATAAACAGTCAGGGTAATGGTTGTGTATTTGGCGTTCAGCGAGAAAAAAAATGTTTAATTTAAATATTTCCCAAAACAAAATCGTTTTGAAGAGTCTGCTATTTGTCGAAAGAATCTCTGATGAAGATGTGGAAAATACATATTAGAATTTTTCGAAGACGGTTCTTTCCCGACATTGACGTCAAACTTTGAATTAAAAAAATGTGTGAATACGGAAGAGCGAAGCTTGAATTTCAATTAAAATAAATAATGAAGCAAATCAACTTTCTCGTTAAGCACGCCACAAATTATGACGAAAAAGAAATAATTGAAGGATTTTTTTGTAAGAATTCTACAAAATACGCGTAATAAAGAAAATTGATAATTTGAACACAGCAAAGAGCAAAAGAGAGAGAGAGAGCAAAATTTTAGATGAGTGTACATAATAAATTGGCAACAAAAATTTTATTTTTATAAAATTAGAAAAAACTCTGGCGTTCGCAAGAGAAAGATTGAGTCAACAGGAGCGTTCTGTAGTGTGCGTTTTATTGTGAGTTCTGTTTTTCGTTCATGGAAGGGAATGGGGGCGGGGAGATTTTCGTAGTCGGCGTCCTTATCGATGCGAGCTTTTGAGATTGTGTTCGTGTCATGTTTTATACATAAACATTGCTATAAGTAGTTGGGTGAATGGAATTAATTGTTTTAGTCTAAAACACAAAAAACTGGAACGACGTCCCATGCAAACACTGGGGATAAAACAATATTTTGAGCGTATTATTATTGTTATCGTTACTGCTGCTGTTGCTGTTGAGGCGATCGGTAATATAATGACCGTGCTTGAATGGCCTGAACTCATGCGAAACCTCAACGTTTTCTATTTATCATTGAGCTACTTTAAGTCGGTCGAAATCAATGGAAAGCTTGAGCCAAGCTCACTCATTTACACGTTTCTCTCTCTCTCTCTTTATTTTCTTTCTTCGACCAACTGCATTAAAGAGACACATCTGAATCGGGGCGGTTAAATAAGTTTGTGCTAAATCGAAAACTTATTACCAGCTAAAACCCTTTTCCTCATTCAGCATTTGCAATTTCATTAAAAATTATGTATAAATTGACTAAGAACTACTTTAAGTTGGCTTGCATTTCAAAACGATTTTCTTGTTCGTCAATTAAATTAAATTTAATTAAATTAAGGTAGAATTTATATGGAATTTAATTGCATTGCATAAAATACACGCTCACGCATACACCCCCGCATATCCGCACTTATAAGAACCAAAACAAAGAGATAAAGAAGACCATGTTCGAGAGGCTTGATTATAACGAAAACAGCATTTTCACTTGGCCTAATCAAATGAATTAAGAAAATTGTAAAATATTCCAAGTTATTCCGAGAAAGTTCTCGTTACGGATAAAGTGAAAAAGATGATAACGGCCTTGTGAATTATAGACAATTGTTGTGTTAATAAAATAAAAAATATACACAGAAAAGAAAAACATTTGAAAAAAAAGCTAGATAAATATTCATTAAATTGAGAGTGAATAGTCTGTTCGCAATGCACTACTTGAGGCCAAAGGTAAAAATTACCATATTAATTATGTCGCAGTCGCAATTTTATAAAAACCATAAAAGGTCGCATGCAAACGTTCAAATATCGCAAATTCTGTCACACCCTCTCTCTTCATTAACACAAACTGTTTGCACGCACTATGCGCTCATTTGTTTTATTTTTTTCTTCGAAAGTGTGCCAATCAATTATGAATATGTGTGCACGACAAAGTTTTTGTCACATCTCAATAATGAATTACAAGATGAACCACAATCAAAATCCGACTTCTAATGCGATTTTTACATTTTTATAAGCCTATCTCATACTTCTATCAGCCGTACCATTAAAATTCAATAAGCACAGAGAAATTAAGCATATCGATTCGTTAATTTTATGCAATTACATCAATAAATGTACCCAACAAACAAAAATGTATCGTTTTTTATACATTTCAACATTGAAATCACTTTCGATGTCAAGTACGACATGATAATATGACCTAGCCAAAGGTTATCATCACAAAAATGTGCAAGCGACAATTGCAACATTTCCGTAAACAATTCCGACTTTGTTTGTGGCTCATTGGGATGGTCGTACGTTTGTAGATAAGTCGAGTTTATTGAAAAGAGCATATTGATGACTAGAAATCAATTCAATTTTTTTTTTATCATTCAAAATGATTTTTTGTTCCATTGTTAACGTTGAATATGAGTTAAACTACACAAAAATGCTGTCTTACATTCGACCGTGACCTTTTGCCTAATAATAGACGATTTTTCGTTAAAAAAAATTGTTGATTATTTTTAAATCCAATAAAAAC